TCTGGGCACCCTTTCTCTTGTTGCACCTTGGCGGTCCAGACAACATTACCTCTTATTCTCTAGAGGATAATAAGTTATGGCAAAGACACTTGCTTACGCTGGTGCTACAGTTCGGTTTTACCATCTGTGCCATTTTAACGTCCCTCTCAAGGCACGAGCTTTGGTTGGCAACTCTCGTGTTATTTGCTGGCGTGGTAAAATACGTTGAGCGAAATGTTGCTCTTCGTTATGCAAGTTTAGACCACTTCGGAGAAAAATGGGAGGCAACTAATGCTACAGATGGAATTCCCATTCCAGTACAATTCAAAGGCGTGAAGAAAAACGGAGGGATATTACAAACTGCAGTTCTACTCCTTGGCAGTTTAAAGAGTGTAATCATTGGCCCTGCTCCAAAGGAAGAAGAACTAGAGGAGAAAATCACACCTATTTTTTATCCTTGCCACGGTAGACGTTCTTGTCATGCGCTTCAAATAATTGAGATTGAGCTAAGCCTCTTGTATGAGCTTCTTCACACCAAGTTGCCTGTGATTGCTTCAACTAGTGGATTTATATTCCGTATGGCCAATTTCATTTGCATCTTGGTAGCCTTGCTTTCATTCTCATTAGTTAAGAAGCACTACCAGTTGGGGCTGGTTGACGTCTTGCTAACCTATGGGTTGCTGATTGGCACCTTGGCATTGGATTTCTTGTCTATCATATTATTCATCAAATGCTCCGATTGGTTTGCCGCTACTCGCCTCCAAGATCAGCACGACTTGCCTAATGCATTTATCAATAGGCGCAGGTGGTGTAAAAAAGTTTCCCAGTTAAATTTTTTAACGTATCATGTGAAAGATTATCCAGTTTGGTTGAAAAAGCTAGATGAACACTGCATGTGGAGCTTGTTGGAATACATAAACATTCATTTCCGATTTCCGTATTACCAAAATTTCAGGGACCCACTCTGGCAATTCATTTGGACAGAATTATCGGAGAAATATGATTGGCATAAGAAGAATAAGCAAGAAACTTGGTTGTCAGAAAGAGAATTAATATGTCATTTCAAGAAGGTTATCAACGACGAGGAACGAGCCAAGTGCTTGATCAAAAGGTTCATTTACGAATTTGATAATTTCTCACAAACCCTCCTAGTGTGGCATATAGGCACTGAATTATGCTTCCAAGACAATAATGACCAGTGGAGGCATGAGTCTGGGAAATCTGATTACAGATCAATATGCAAGCTACTTTCAGATTATATGTTTTACCTTGCAGTAGGCGTGCAGCCCAGCATGATCGCCTCTGTATTGGATGATTGGAAGAAGGAATTTGGAAGTATATGTGAGCAGACTCGGCGATTAGTACTCTGGAGTTTTTTCTTGAATGAGAAGACTGCCTGCAAAATGATCTTCTTCGGGTTGAAGAATGAAATAAAGGAAAATCCCCTATTATCTAAAGCAGTTGATCTTGCCTGCTCGCTCAAGAACGAGAACGAGAAGCAGGGGGGTTATGATTATTCGTGGGAGTTAATGAGCAAAGTTTGGGTACATTTAATGTTCTTTGCCGCTGTTAGTTGCAGCTCATATGTCCATGCACAGCAACCAAGTCAGGGTGGAGAACTTCTCACTTTCGTTTGGCTGTCGCTGAATCATTTGGGTCTTGGAATGAAATACAAAACGTCGAAAGAATTGTTCAACCGTCCTCCTATTCGGAAGAAGTCGCCGCCGCCGCCGCCGCCGCCGCCGGCGGAAGATGATTACTATGGATAATTTATGGGTTCTCGTTTGCCTATCTAACTATATGCTTGCTGCATTTTTTAAAAGTTTGGGGACTTTACCACGTATCTTCAATTTAGTGCTTTGCTGTATTATGTAAGTTGTTTTGCACTGAACTCATGTATTTACCAATGTTTCTAAACTCGGAAATTATATTGTGATGTTTAATGTTACATTGATTGTGTGTGTTTGATAAATTTTAAAAAGTAAATTTCTTTTTTTATAATTAAACTTAAAACTTCGTTCAAAAAATTTTAAAAATTAACTTTTAAAGTGGTTTTAGAGTAAGTTTTTAAAAGCAAAGTGATTCTAAAAGTTCTCTCCTACCGTGCTTTGCCTAGGCTTGGGCCAAAGGCGGCGGGCTCCTCCTTCGGGTCCCTCTCCGGCAGTGGAGTTCCTCTTTTTCTGCTTTCCTCTTACCCTCTCCTTCCCCTTCTTGCTCTCTCCTTCCCCTTCTTGCTCTCTCCTCCACCCTTGTCGCCCACCTTGCTTTGGAAACTTCAGCCCAAGGGACCACAAGGCAGCGGCCTATTCAGATCTAGATCTGGGGGTGTTTTCCAAAGGCTTCGGCTAGTATAGGGAGAGAATTGATCCTGCTTGTGGTTGGTTTTCCTC